CTTAACGCTGCTAACGGCGTTGGCCGGTATTATTATTTAGATCTAAAAAAATTCGATAACTGCAGCGCCATCTAGTGCCGCCGTATTATACTAACGGCTAATACGTCCGTAAGAATCTTGTACCTATTTGTTTTCTCTCTTTGGTCCAAACGCAACATAGACAAAACGCATTTACGCAGAATTGTTTTTTCTATGTTTTTTTAAGTAATATTTTTAGAGTAAAATCGCCCATTACAAAAAATATAGAGAATAATATTTTTGAGGGAATTAAGTATCCATTTGTCTAAATATTGTCTCAAAACAATTTAAATGTAAGTTCGACAATTTTTTTTGTTTATATTGAAAGTTGAATACAAGGTCAAGGAGCAATAAAATATAAAATCGACATAAAAAATATATTATTCTATATCTTTTTTGTAATGGGTGATTTTAGTCTAGTCTCTAAGATTATTTAAAAAAACGTAGAAAAATGATTTTTCGTAAATGCGTTTTGTCTATAATTATTTTTCTATGTTACGACCAATCAAGATAATATATCTAGGTATATCTTAATTGTGGCCACGGTTTTCTATTCTAAACCTAAACAGATTACCGAAAGGAATAATGGGTAAATCAAAGTATAAATACTTTTAAAAAATCGTGGTTTGCGGCAACGACTAGCGGGATGGTGTGGACGGGAAGAGGTTACCCAGCTATATTATATAAGGCCTAATACAGAATTATGCAATATGCATTTTCAATGGGCGCAATGAGCAATAAGTGTATTTTACAGTAAGACAATACTAAATATAATTTATCGTAAAACGGCCGGGCAATATACGCGCTACAATTACAATACTGATAATATTAATTAATAATGACAACTGTCAACATAATATGAGGTTGTCTACATAAATCCACTTAAATAATAACCAATAGACCTGGTCTGCAAGCTCCGGGGGACGTCGCGGTGCTGGTAAGGCGACATCGTCTTCATGGCAGTTGGTATTTGGTACAAGACGGCCACGGTCACAACCACGATTAAAGATATTTTTCTTGAACATTATTATACAAAGAGCACTGTTTTTGAATGTGTTGTATACTATTTAGGAGGGTAAGATAAGACTTTCAAGAATAATTACTTTTTAAATACATTTTTAACAATGCTTACCTATTTATGTAAATATATAAAAAACAATATTATAAATATGATAAAAAATATAGGTATATTTATGATCTTTTAAATATTTCTATTAAATAGAATATTAACTTTATAATAATTTACAGATACCTGGCCAAACGTTTAAGTAAAAAAACTAAGTGCACATTATGTATCAGTGGATTGAAAAATAATAATTCAGAAATTAATACTAATAAATCTGAATTAGTTGAAATGAAAACTAGAGGGTTTCTTACACACCCAAATGGAAATATGTATAATACTTTACAAGTGATAGAGACTAGTTTTCAGAAACATTGTAGTTCTCCTGATGTATTTGAAAATACATACAATGAATTTCTTTTGGCTTCGACAAATTTGAAATTTCCATGTGGACATCATAAAACCGATATGATGGTGGAAATATTCACTTCATACATTTGTATGCGTATGAGACAATATACATACATGGAAAATCAAAATACCAAAAAATTAAACAGGACAAAAAAAAAATTATCAAAGCTTGTTTCTTGTTAAATAATAAATAGTAAATGGTTTTTAATGTTTTTATGGTTATTCGTTATTACTTGTTCATAATTCATATTTCATAATTTACTATAAAAAAAAAATAAGTATAATATTTAATAAATTTACTAATAATCACGGCCTTAGACTAGTATATAATAAGTATGTAATAATTAATAAATGATTATCATTATTGATACCTATTTGATAATTGTTGATAATGATGTATTTTGTAGTACCAGGATAAATCACTAAAATGCAAGAGCGCTAACTGTTATTCTTGCTATGACAAGATCGTTAATTTTAAGCGCACCAATAAATTAGTTTCGTTGAGTAACCTGTATATCTTTAATCGTGGTCACAACACACCGAATTTCGTGACGACACGAGGTTGTGGCGGCGGCGAGCGGATGGGACGTTGCGCCTCGCTCAACCGCTGGAAAAAGTCGACGAACGGACGCCGGCGGCATAGCCTACGGCATTGAACGGCCCTGCGCTGGAGGGCCGAGGAGGGGGTAAGCCACCTCGTGAGCTTCGGCATTCGAGGCGCAGCTTTGGGGACTGCGCCGAAACTATACGGTGGCGTGAAAACGCGTCCGTGTTCGAACACTTTCCTAAGATTTTAGTACCACAAAACATCACATAGAAACGAGCAACACATAACATTTAATAAAATCTCCAAATCTTGACTATTTTTTTTTATCCCTTCTGCTGGAAATTTTCTATTGAGGGCGTCAAATAAATTATTCATAAAAATAGTAAAATGTATTGTTTCCTCACATTCATTGAACCCTGGGTATGATTTAGTATTAAAAAATCTTATACCATCTGCTACTGATTTGCTGAAAATCTGTTAAATAAAAGATAATTTACACAATATTAAATAATGTTTTTATTTTATTTTTCATAAGGAGTTATTTGATCTTACTTGTGAAGCAAACTTCACTTTCATCTCTGAGAAACTGTTAAGTTGAAAGTGATTTTTGGTGAGTCTTGGACAAATTCTTGTCAACGACTTAGAATCAGTTTCATAAAGGTGCTCATAAATTGCCCATTTAATTGGAGGTTTTGTTGGACTAATCTAATCGACAAGTAATGTTAATATAATAGGTATATTTAATTATTTAAGTTGTATTTACTAATATTCTTTCAAATATTGTACTATTAAAACTAATTAATAATTATATATTCATTGCTGAATTAAACTATTTCATGAATAATTAATGTTAAATAATCACTCTTAATGTTTTTTTAGTGTGCAACCGGTTTCTGACAGTTTTCAGCAAATGTGGCGCATCAGAGAATACAAACACTTGGCGATAGTTGTCGAATAGATTGGTAAATGAATTTCGTATTTCATCTGATTGTGCATAAATCCCTAACGTATGCCACATTGTATGATTAGTTGATGCGCCATCGCTTGTTATAGCTAGCACTTGAACCCCAGAATTTTCCAACAATAGAATCTCCTTCAGCATAATTTTAGTTAGATCAATACCTATTCAATTTCAACAATTAAAATGTAACTTATTGTACTATTTAATAGTTAAAACACGGTTCACTTAAATGTACCTTTAACTTGTCCCTTTTAGGTAAAGACAGTGATTGGCTGATGAAACTTCTCAGATAATCCTTGAATCATCAAAAGTAATGCGTGATTAGCTTTTTCTGTACTTTTAGTATTCAACTCGTCACCATAAACTTCCAAACCATGGTATGTTAGGTTTCTAGTGTTAACTGGTATACTCTCTCTCAAAGATATTTCATCAAACACCAATACAACTTTTTCTTGATTCTCTGTTTTATTCTCAAATTTTTTTTTTAATAGTTTGAAGAAATTATTGTCAAAACCACATCCAATCTTAACTGCTTACAAGTGACGTCTCAACGTTGTTACACATGGCAATGGCAAGATATTTTGTCCACGAAGAAATGAATAACCGCTTAGAGATCTATGAAGTATTCTAGTATTTGTAAATTATTAAAAACTTGAATATTATACTATTATTACTTACCTTATTTGAAACATTAGGCATAATAACATTTATTACAGTATTGTGAGTTAAAACTATACATATATTTCATTATTTTAATTTTATCAACTGCTTGATAATTTACCTATCATCTTTAATTGACCACATGATTCAATGTGTTGAGGACCATATGAAGCCCTTATATCCTTATTTTCAGTAGAAGAAAAAGCTCCTTGACAGCATTTAATTTTATCAAATTCATTAAAAAGTGATTGAAATTCTATTAGGTTTTTTTGTTGACTGTTTTTTAACCCAATTTCATGGGGTGTTACAATTTTATTATTGATAAGTAAGATTATTTTAGAATCTAAAAAATATTACATTTAAGTATTATTAATTATTTAATACCGTTCTTTTATAATACTGATATAATAAATAGTAATATACCATTTTTAATAATGAGTTGCTTTTCAATATATCTAGAATAATTGCTTTTGAAAGTACTCTAAGGTCTCAAAGTGTGCCACTGTGGAAAGCTATATCAATTGGAGCTATTTCATTACTATGAAACCAGTTTTTTGGTACATCTATCATTTGTTCTGTGGTTCAATATGGTATCCAGTATAATTCGTGATATTAAGCACAAAAGACCGAAACCCCATGGTTGTTCGAAAAATGATAAGACATATTTTTTAACGCTAACCTACATGTACACCAACGTTACCGAATAAAATATCTCTAATTTCAATATCTTTTTAATAAACTAATTTGAAATATGCTTCATTTTTCATCATCTGCCATGGTGCACTTCACACAAAAACTTACTACAAAGTACAAGGCCTTCATTGAAGACAATAATGAATAAACATAAGCTATGTTCTCAAGGAACATTAAATCAAGGACAATTTTGGATATATGTACTTTAAAAGTGAAGCAACTGGAATACTTAGGTAATACAATTGTGTGAAGAAATTTTAGTTTTATTTAATTGTTTTGTTCACAGTTATATGAGATGCAAGGAATATAAGAGTGGATGTCCGGATACAGGATCGATATCGGTAAATTTGAATGACAATGCTTTTTTCATCAAGAAGCGACATGATCATAGAGTAAGGAGAGATGACACACCCATGAAGGAATTACAGAACATTCTTGCAGAACAATGTGTAGCTCATAGTCCTACACCTTATTCAGCTAAAGCATTATACATGCAAGCAATTAAAAAGTAATGTTTAATACAATCAGTGCCGCAACTAAGGTTAATAGGGCCGAGGTGCAATACCAAATAATAGGGCCCCTTACTTACCAACATTTTACAACATTTTTTCATGAAAAATATATTTATATATGTAAACGTTAAGTATCCACCACAATTTAAATTTATTTTTAACTAAAAAAATACAAATTTACATTAGATAAAAACATTTACATTACAAAAATAATAACGTATTTATAATATTAAAATTACTTTAAAAAATTTTTTTTTCTGCTTTTTTGATTGGCAAAGTCAATAATTAATTTTTCTACATCAAGTTCTTCAGTGCGAGCTCTTTCTATATTTAATATACTTATGTTTGTTAGTTGGTCTTGAGATATCGAGTTTCTTAAATAGTTTTTAATCAGTTTAAGTTTAGAAAATGACCGTTCGGCCGATGCTACAGTCACTGGTAAACTTAAAAATATAATACAAGATGTAACAACTTCACTATACAAAGATGATAGGTCGTTTTCTATTAAATATAAACATAATTCTTTAATTGTTTTCATATCAGTGTTTTTTATAAATTCCTTTAAAGATAGAACTTGACTAGTTAAATCGGAAGTTACGTCAGTTTTGTAAAACTGAAT